GGGTTTGAACCTCCAGCCTTCTGGTTAGCAGTCAAATGCTTTAGGCACTATGCTACCAGAGCACCCTAAACTCTCTTAGTCTTAGTCTGGAATGCACAGAGCTGGCGGCCAAAAGAAACTGACCTTGCCAGTGCTCCTCAGCTCTGGCACTGACAGTGCCCAGGTCTTCTACTCAGCCCTGCTATACCCTGTCCTGTGCGGTGGTTCTGTGGACATGTGCCATCTAAGGGGCCTCAGAGAGAGATCTGCAGTGGTGACCCCTTCAAACCCAGTCATGGAGCAAATGAAATAGGAAAACATTGATAAGAACACCAGACCAACACCAAACACACTGCCGTTGAGTTGATGTGGCAGACTGCCACATCTTCCTCCCATGGAGCAGCTGATGGGTTTGAACTGCTGATCTTTTGGTTAGCAACTAACAACTTAACCACTGTGCCACCAGGGCTCCTTGATAAGAACACCACTCATCATAAAAGTGGTTTCTGTTCCTGTCTAGAAATATACTGATCCATGAGACAAGCTGGTTATAATGTTGCCAAAATTTAGTAAGGAAAAAGGAACTGGTTTTATTATAATCTTTGAGTTTGAAATACGCCATTTATACTTGCACAAGGAATTCTAAAGTTTATATTTTAAGTGCCATATATGATAAGGTGTAAGGTCTACATGTTTGCTTGGAATTGTGATGATAGTGATGACAACAATGAGAGAATGAATGTACATGTGTGTGTGTGTATACACACACAGATACATATACGCATCACATCCTTATGTATAACCTACTGCCATCGAGTCAATTCTGACTCATAGCAACCCTCACTGGGTTTCTGAGAAGGTAAATCTTTGCGGAAGTAGAATGCCCTTTTTGCTTTTGTTTCCTTCTGCAGAGTGGCTGGTGGGTTTGAACTGCCAACCTTCTGGTTAGCAGTCAAATACATTAGGCACTGCACCATCAGAGTTCCTTATCCTTATGTATATAAACCAAAAAAAAAAAAAAAAAAGTTGCTATTGAGTCAACTCTGACTCATGGAGAACCCATCTATGTTCCTATGTGTCTGTCTACCTATCTATCATCTATCTGTCTACTGTCTAGCAAAGTGCCTCATATATAATAGTTATGAAAAAGCTGATTGCAGCCTTACCTGAAGGTCTGGTGGTGTTTCTGGATTTTTAGTTAATTCTTTGAGCTCATTCACTTTAGCATGAAGTTCTTCTAATCTCAGTGCTTTGTTTTTCACTTCAGTCTGCCAAAATAAGATGGAGGGACAAAAGAATCAAAACATGCTGTATGTGACATTTAGTAATTTCAAGAGTTATCTCTGTCAAAATGCCCAATCGCAAGCCAGTGTTAAAAACAAAAACAAAACCTACCTCTATTCTACTTCAGAGAGGTGCCGTTCTTCATAAATGTGGAAAAATGTCATAATTAACTTCCCCTTGGTGGAGTGTGAGGGAGTCCGTAGAATTTCCTTTCCTCTCACCCTCCCTCTCTTTCATTATGGGGAAAAAAAGCAACTCATGGAAAAACTGAAGCACTGACCAAAAGTCTTGAGTCAGTGGGGATTTTTACTAGACTGTCATTTTTTCATTAACATTAAAACCGCTGGTTACTATGGCAGCATTAAGATCTTGAAGAAGCATTACCAAATAAATACATACATGTTGAATGTCTAATTACTACAGAATATGCGATACATAAAACATTTAAAATAAGTCTTTAAAGAATGTTAAAGCAGAAAACACGTCCATCAGAAAATCTGCATGTAATATTTTGCCCCTTTTTCTGTACGAAACCAACACTAACACACACACAAAAAAGAGGAAAAAGCAATCAAAGGGTCATTACTGAACAAATTAGACACTTGTGAACTTCATTATATATCTGGGACCACAAAAGGAACCATTTAACAAATTGCTCTGCTCAGTTTAAAATGGCATGTCAGTGCTCTGTGGACACTAACAAACCTTCTGATATTCTCAGTCCACAAAGTAATTCACTCAGCCAGTACGACTTGATGAACCAACTGTCAACCCACTGACCTCTCTGGATCAGACTGGACAATTAAGGCGGCAAATCAACGCTCTACACTTCATTACTGCACCAGAGCAGCTGTTCCACTGTAGGAGCAGGGGCTGAATCCCATCGCTGATTTCCTTCGCTGGGTCACGCAGCCAGTCACCAGAAAAACCCATCCCTGTGAGTGACTGAGGCCTGGCCATTCTGAATGTGGGTCTGATTCATACTGACTCCCAGGCTTTGAGCTCAGCAGTGTGTTGGTAAATGTTTAACAATTGGCTCCCCCACCCCCTAAAAAAAGCCCTGATTATAAGATTTTTGCCAAATCCTATACAACAGCAACATGGTCTAAATATTCCCACCCTGGCTTAATTTGAGCAGCAACATGCTGTCCCAGCACATGAAGTTGGCAGAGACGGCCAGTGTCACATCACTCTATCATATTTCCACCATATGATAAATTAATGGCTGCAAACAACCTGAAAGTGCAGATAATAGTAGTATGTAGAATAATAATTAAAAAGCAAACAACCCAACCAATGGCCATGGAGTGGATTTTGACTCACGGCCACCTCTGATATGTCAAGAGTAGAACTGTGCTCCATAGGTTTTCCATGGAGGATTTTTCAGAAGCAGATTATGAGCCCTTCCTTCCAAGGCACATTTGGGCGTCCTTGAACAACCAGCCTTTTGGTTAGGAGTTGAGTGCATGACCTGTTTGCACCACCCCAGGGCTCAAAATAACAATTAAGAAGTGATAGGATTCTAGAATTCATTACAATGATTTATTAGCAATTTATGTAATTTTTAATAATTGTTGTGTTCAACAATAGCTTGCAAAATTCCTGAAAATTTAACTATCACCTCTTGGGAGCTGGTAGAAACCAATCAAGCCCCCAACCCTGTGTGAACTGTAGTGTTAATCAAAACTCAGTGATGTCATCATAAAGAGATGGAACCACCCTCTTTTTTTTTTTTTAATTTTATTATGATTTGGGTGAAAGTCTACAAAGCAAATTCATCTTCTATACAGCAGTTCACATACACTTTGTCTCACACATTGACTGTAATCTCCCACAATGCAATAGCTCTCCTCCCACTTACTCCCCATAGCCACTTCTTCCCTGTGTCCTTCCCTCCCATACACTCCTGCCCCCAGAGCTCTCTCACTGTGC